CAGGGTCACTCGTGGACGTGTAAAAGGCGAACGCATTCTCTCGACTCGGGGGACTTCCCGATAACGGGCACGGCGGGGAGAGGCGCCCATTCTTTGGAAACGCGGCCGCTGCCTCACCGGCGTCTTTGTTTTGTCGATGCGCTCGCTCGCCGAAAGCTAAGTTGGCATCGTCCGGCTCGCTTTGGTTCAGGGACAAGACGGGGTCATCTTCGTGGACGGCTCACGAAGCTCGAGCGGCTTATGAATGCGATAGGATGGAAGGATTCATATGTTCGGGCATTTGGAGTTCGGTAGATATGGACTGCGAACTTCAAACAGCGGGTTGCTGGTGTAAGAAGTGGAAGGCGGAATGAAGTCAGCCCTCACGAGAATTTAGAGTATTAAGAAACATAACATTATGGCAACAATTAAGAGCAATCAAAAACACATAAATAAAAACAAAGGCATTCCAGCGGTCGCATCAATACGTCGTCATCGAAAGTAGCAAATCTGCATACCGAGAGGTCAGCAGGCCTGCAGGTTAACAGAAGTTGTGGGCTCCCTTCCGAATCCCATGGTGTACGTAAAAATTTGGTGAGTAACGTCACCATAACCATTTTCTATTTATATTGGTGTGCACAGCAGCACAGATGCCTCTTTCAACAATCTACAAGTGATATTTTGCCCTAAGGAAGCTTATTTATTTTATCACTAAACTTACTCCATCACTCCACCGAAGGTCCGCTATGGTACAGCAGTGGCTATAGTGCATGCTCGGCTGCTGATCCGAAGGTGGCGGGTTCGGCCCCGGTGACCGCGGTCCCATTTCGGTAGAGACAAACTGGTAGAAGCCCGTGTCATGTACTGTGCGATATCAGTACGCAGTTAAGAAGACAAGATGTACGACATTTTCGGAGCCCTGCACCCAAGCGTCTCTCAAACCCCATTTATTCTTATTACCCACCGACGCTTTCAGCATCCTCCGTTGCACCTGAGCTTGCCTTTTGGACCCGCATGCTTCCAAAATCCACGCATTGCCGTTAAAGCACAATCGGCACCTGCGATCGCATAGCTACCACGTTCCTGCTTGCGTCGACAGCGGCGGAAACGTTCTCGCTTGTGCGGCCAAGCGATGCCAAATGCCGACACGCTCGGAGTCCGTGTAGTACGCAAGGCTAAACACGCGTGAAGCGACCCAGTAGAAAGTATAAGGCGGAGAAAACAAAAATTTACAGCCGTGCCCGTGGCCGCATTACCTACGCTTTCCAGGGAATGCAGCGTTTATAGTGTGCGCGGGACAAGGCCCGTCTATGCTTGCCCGCTATCCTTGTTTCCTAGATCCCCTCTTCTTTTCATTGTGATGCGCAATAGACGCTGTTGAACTGCATCTTCGGAGCCCGTTCATTGCGTCAGCCTTGCCCTTGCACGGAATACGTGGCTTCATGCATTCTGTGATGAAATCTTGCGGTTATATATAGCCTACGTAAAAGTTCACAAGAGGGCTCGCCGCTACCTTTAGCCGGAGGAAAGGCATCAGCTGGTGCATAGGAATGTGGGCAAAGATGGTCTTTCGAGTGCTACATATGCCTTAACGATGGCCCTTCAGAACTGTGTATGATGTAGTGAGCGAAGTAGAAATTCCGGTGCAACAATACTCATATAAAAAATTTCAAGGAGTTACGCATAGCAAAAGCAAAAAATTGATTGTGACGCTCGCCACATTGAAGAACTCCACGCCTTTTTATTTTGTAAGAGCTTGAAGCGCCAAGAAGACGGGATTAGCGTTCGACATTTGTATCGGAAGACAGGATTGACAATATTCCTTCTCCCATATCTCCGTTTAACTAGGCAGCACATTGAGGTTCCTGTGAATAAGACTGTATGTTTGAATATGTGGGCTGAAATAAAGAGCACTTTATTAAGTAGTGGGCTTAATAATATACGTGGCATTGTGATTTGCCTGCTGAACTTTCAATATGAAGCACCAAGTGTATGTTATATAAATTCTCACGTTACGTCCGGATCGTGATGGTTAAAATACTACAATTGGTGCCACCATGTGTTACGTGTGCAAGGTTCCGCTTATGTGGATTCTCTTGAATGATAAACCATTTGGCACGCGTCGACGAGAGCAACATCGTAACCATGACACTACTTATAGCTTCTCGTTTCAACAGAACAATCGACACTTTAAGAAAGAAGCATGCACAGATAAGACAGGTGCCTTTCTACCTCTGTGCTCAGCTTAGAAGGAAAATGGCCAATCAAGTTATTGTTTCTTTCCCTTTACGTTCATGTTTTATTTACGCGCCTGGGCACACCAGAATGTGCGCGTTGACATTCAGATTTCGACGATAAGAATGAAAGGGGGTCACAGATTGAGCGATTGCCAGAGAGTGGTCTGCTGCAAATTGATGCATTCTGCATCTAGGTTATCCGGAGGCTGCTTCCAATCTAAGCTGCCTTGTAAACACTCTACGAGGAAATATAAAATGTGAAAGAAATATGAAGGTCTGTTGACCATCACTGTTTTATGAATCGCGGCCAAGTTATGTTTTTTTTCTTGTATAACGTTCACTTTTTAACAGTGAACCCATACATGCCCCCTTACCCCTCGCCCCACCCTCACTCATAGTTCATGCGTCGGGTATTAGTTTCTCGGCGGGACACTTTAGAGTACGGCATATATATTCAAAATGACATGTGGCAATAAATAAAGATTTACTAAAGGTGCTTGCGCTGTGCGAATCAGATCACACCACGACTATACACAACGTGTTGTCCTCTTTGCCTTCCGTACCTCGACTTTCGTCTGTTTCTTCTAGCACATTCGTGCTCGCGCTGCAACCCTTATTATACACAACGAATTTCAAACCTCTTTCATCATCCCACAAAAAAGAGTGTTGAGTAAAAAGCGAAAAAATGGCATGATATTATGATAGATTATTATTGATGCAGTAGTTTTGTTAAGTATATATAATTTGAACATTTTCTGTCTTGTATTATTTCAGTAGGGTTGAAATATATGCATACAAAAAAAACGCTGCTGTCTAGAATTTTATATGAGCAGTATTGTGTCATGTTCTGTAGAAGATGCGTACATTTATTGCCCTTGGTTTTAGTTGAAGAAAACGTGACGCTCGTGCGTTTGTTTTTTGTTTTCCAGTTCACTCTCTCACGTACTCTCAATCTTGTTTGACGAGTAGCGTTCGATGTAATACATTTTGTGTACAGTTATTTACGTGGGAAAGGGGAGAGAGCGTACGCACAGCCATCATGTTTGTGTGTTAGATCTGTTGAGTGACAGATCTACAACATAGTTATGCGCATTTGCATTATATCAGTCGTCCTTTTAGCATTCGATGTGGTATGTTTCTCAGTTTCAGCAGAAACGATATTCTTTGCAACTGGTCATTGAGTGATTGATCACTGTGGGCGGAGTATTCATTGGCTGCCTTCATGTTTGCTCGCTTAGTCGCTTTCAGGTACCTCATCAGTTTTGAAGGTCCTGACATGTGTAGTACTTTTGGCAGGATTGAGATTTTTGAAGCCTTATTATAATCGCTCAGGACTGTTCAGATCTTGTTTGAAGAGCTCTTCTCCATCTCTTCTGCAACATTTTCCTTTCTTGCTGTTTTGCTATGTCAGGCTTGGTGCTTACCATGGTATTCACAGCAGCGGAGCTCATCTCGATGCCTGCACGCCACCGCCATTGACACCGATTCACGCGGGAGAATGTACAGTTGCTGTTATCCTCCGTTTAGTGCAAATCCATGTGTTTGCCTACTGCATATACGGGCACACACGTCGGTCACGGACAAGACGGAGACTTTGCCTAAATAGGAGTATACTTGTACGGCGTCGACGTATTCGCAAAACGTAAGGGAGCAAAGATCTCTACAAATGTGTGTCACCCGATCTTAAGACAAGCAACGTCTTTATTGACGTATGTTTTCTTCACTCTGTTCGCTAGGTCTAATATTTACCCGCATCGAGATGTGAACGAACAACTCGTCTAGGAACTTTTACCTGCTAAATATATCTCACCATTTGACAGGTCATACAAAGTCATCGAAAGCCAAACGTTTGAGCCGTATAGCGAAGAAAGTTTAGGCGTATTCTTAAAGGAAAGCCGCTTAACTAAGCAATACATGACAAAGAAACAAGGACTGGTACATATGTAGTTTGGTGGTCGTTTTGAAACGGTGATCTAGTGCTATCCAACCGAGCACTCCCTCCAATCATGTAGACCCTATCGAGGAGCAGCGACTCAGAGAAAGAGAAAAACAGCTACATAAAGAACAACTTATGAAAGGTGCATAGTTCTTAAGCAAAGCAGTAGCATGGGACACCTCAACAGTCATTTTCAAACTATAATATCGCTGGTGATGGTTCGCGAAAAAGAAGGAACTGCAACTACTTTAGGAAAGCCATGAACGGATGAGGCCACGCTGTTTGTACGTTGATGTAAATTTCGTGTAAATATCAACATAAACTTGCTTCACTAAAACGATGACAGATTGAAGATAACTACACGGTGAAACTAAAAACCAACAGCGAGATGCTTTTTTTTTTCAAGAAAGTTATGCTCTTTCCAGCGTCGTTTGCACAATTCTTTTTTTGTAGAAACATAGGTGATTGATTGGAGTGAAGAACATGAAAATCGCGGAGTTGTGACCATTATGTGGCAGCACTAAACATGTGGCATGAAGATCAGTATTTTTTAGTGATACGGTGTCTCCCGCGTTCGATACTTTTGAATGAGATTGTGCTTTGACAAGTGTCTTCAACACTTTACGAACTTCACCCTGCACTATATACTCATTGTTGTTAGTATTATTGCATTACAAAAAATACTCTGCGAGTTCTATGCGGGAAAGGTTTCTCTCTTGTGGAATGCAGCTATGTCTATCGAAGTAATGCTGACTTTCATTTGCATCGATGCAGTGCGCACGTACTTCAGGCTATTGTGGCTTAGTCACTGAAAAGAGGCTTCTCTCTTTTTTGTCTGCTCTTTGCAGCCGCTTTTTCGACGACGACAGTAGGCCAGATCGAGACGACAACGGCACCGACCCCGACAACAACGGAAACTCCGGTGAGTGCATGCTACCAACTTGTCCAAAACGCTTGGTTTGCGTTGTTGTGCATGTGTGCAAGAGATGCCCTGCGAAGTGAGAAGCAGCTAATGTTTTATTGCAATCGAAAAGCCTGCAAAACAACTCACAAGGAGCTGTCTGCCACCGGACATTTTTCTCTTTAAAAGGTGGCATGTAGGGAGAAAAGAGGTCAGAGTAAAGAACAAACACACAGAAGACATCTTGTCTGGTGGTGCTTCCGCCACAAGTTAGTTACAGATAAATTCTTGCGAGCCATGTCTGCCTGAGACATATATGCATTCTCGAAAGCTCTTTAATATATTCGATCTATGAGCAAGCTGCATTGCAAGCTCATTTAGGAAGTTTTGTGATGAAAATAAATATAAATAAGAATAACTGTTAGGAAACCCTCTAAATACAAATATTGGTAAATCAAGTGGCTCGTATTACTCCTCCCCCCCCACCCCAAAAAAAAAGAACTGCTTCTGTGCAATAATAAATGTCCATGTATAATAAATATCTACGAATTGCACAGCCCCCGGTATCAATAGTAAGGAAAGTTCTTTACTTAATGGTATACTTCGGCGCTTTTCAACGAATTTCGATGTGCGCACCTGGAAAAAATGGTTGCTGACATGATTTACGCTAAATCGAAGAAGTTTCAGAAATTCTTCATTTCAATTCACTCATGATATATGTCATAACGTTAAAAACTATACTAGGGATCAACATAGGAGTACAATACGTCAATAGAAAAAGTATCGTGAAACATTCCGTAGATGGTGATGTCCGTGTGTAAGGTAGCCTTCCCGCACAAATAGCTAAAGCATAGAATAGGTATGACAGTTACCTATTACAAAATAAATAAAAAAATAACAAAATACCTGGCCTGCGCAAAATGCGCAGCACTGTCACAGCGAAAGCTGGAAGGCATTTTTCCTGCATAGCCTTTTCCAATGCTCTTTCGGTAGCTGCTGCAAACACAATCGCAGAGTATCCACTACGCCATAAATCAATGTGCAGTAGGCACGCATTCACTGCGTCATCCTTTGTCATTCTTCGGAGAAGCCTGGTACACGGTGCACACTTGCAAAGAATTTAGTGAAAGATTTTGCTGTGGCTAAGTATGATAAAGAATTACGCAGGAAGCTTTTGTAGTACCCGTATTTCCGACAGTGGGTATGTGCCACAGTTAATACATGAACAAGATCAATTGTAATGAATTAGAGCATTCGATGATCCACTTGTTGCTCAATTCGCATTGTGTGACGCCTGATTGTCCTTTTGCTGTTCTAGATCGCTTTGTGACTCATATTATTAGGATTCCTTTTCCGACATCAAACCTGCCTAAGGCCAGTTTGAAAAGGAGTTTCAAGCATGGGTGTGGCTCAGTGGTAAAATGCTGGGCTGACTCCGGGTTCGAATCCTGTTGCGTCCTTGGCTTTTTTCATTTTCTGAGCTTTTCCTTTTTCGTGCGATAGTGGTTGCGGACACCAGTGGCAGAGGAAAACTACCACGCACGCAATCCTTGTTGTGATCTTATAACAACTTTCGCTGTAAAAAATATCTGGCATATATAAAGGAAGTCACTGGTTTCAGCCAGGTACTTGTAATGATGAATTATTTCGCCTTCAGTGAATTTATTTGCTTTGGGTAATTGTCAGTTAACTGTATAATAAGTGTCAATGTTACACAGGAATCAGGTGAAGACGCTCTTGGCTTTATTATTCGCTATGAAGCGTCGGCCTAAAAAGCATGCCGTAGTAGTGAAAAACTCGAACACGAAAGTGCGCAACCAAGCAACAGGAAGATTGACTGGTGCTGGAAGAAATCGCTTAGTCTAAAATGCTTGCGATGCGGAATTCGAAGGCCGCTGCACAAGATTGCCTCGTCTTTGTTCTATACTTATCTGCAGCCACTTCACTCTTTCCGCTTGCCAGTCTTCGGCGTTACCAGGACGGCAAGCTGATAGTCCTGATTTACTCACTCACGTGGAGCTAGTTTTCCACGTCCCTTTCTAAAAACACCCCATACGTCAACGGCCTCTTCGGCACTGCTTAACTCACCTCGCGGGGAGTGCCGCCCTGGCTCGTAAAGGAGACGCCTGTTCGCATTCCAGAGCCAAGAAAGACAAGCTTCCCTCTATTGTTGTGGTATGGCTCAGGCGAGGTATGGTGTAAGCCGTGAGAGGGTGAGGTTTATCGTGAGAAAGTTACTGCTGGCGGCGTTTTGCGAGATACCTCGTCTGGTGGCTGTGCTTCGTGATGGATGAGCTGCCGGCCCTTGCGTGTATATCTCGTCCGCGTAAATGCCTCTACACGTATCCAACCCTAACTTCTTTGGGCATTCCAGTTGGCAGAGAGGTCATTGATAGATCCGACGCTTGAATACGGGGATCAGGCACAGTGGTACCTGCCATAACGTATAGCTCGTACGTGGAAATGGTGTAAGCTCTCTCGTGTCAAGTGACGATGAGAGCTTCAGATGTTCATTAGATGTCTTAAAAAGTGACTGCATCTTTCTGTCATTACTCGTTGAGCCATCGCATAATGTGTTGGTGGATAAACCACACTTTGCAGTCTCTTCGAGCGTAAGTGAAAGTGAAAACAGACGGTCGATTTGGGCAGGAATACAATTGTAATTTTTTTGCGTTGCAGAAACAAGCAGAAAAACAGCTTTAAAACAATGCCATAAATTAAGTCGACATTTCTTCGAAAACCTTGAGCAGAAGCAGCAAACGTAACTGTATCTCCACCTGAATAAAAATGCTTTGATAACCACGTGGCTTTCATGAGAGCTGCTTGAGGACATTGGACGCTCACACAGCAGGTGCCGCTTATTACTTTCTAATTTCATCCCATCAAAAATATTACTAAAAGCTAGAGCTTGTTCAGATATTCCAGGGGTCCATACTGTCTTTCCTTAGCTTTAACACTTGAACTTGTCATAAGAAGAAAGCTGCCCCATTTATTAATGTGAAAGGAACACCTGTGAGGTCCACAAGCACACAACAACAAGAACTAGCGAGGAACGACTAGTTTTAGTACTTTTTTTTCTTGTTTGCACTTGTTGCAAACAGCAAAAAAAAAGCACTTGCAATAAAAGCAATGCAAAAAGCACTTGCAAAAAAAGCAATAAAAGCACTTGTTGCAGTGTAACTTCATCCACGACCCCACGCAGACGTATATGCTTGTGGAAGCACACAGTAACCTTACGCGCCCTTGTAATAGAATTATATGGCTTTTTGCTTGTGCAGCTTATGTTCTAATGCTTGCTCTAAATTTACATATCAATTTAGTTTTCCTAGTGAACACTTGAGTTTGATGATATCTTTTAGGTGACTGAATTTTCATTAATCATAAAGCATTGATATCATATATATTTACACGAAGTGTAATTTCACTGGGTTTTGTGTTGTTTTTGTATTATGATCTATTCAAGCTATGTGCAACGCAATTTCTATATTTTATCAGCGCTTCAACATTTCTTCTTAAACATCGCACGTTTGCGTTCTCTTAGAATTCGTTTCATAACTGTTAATGACCAGGTGTCATGTTCTCTCTGTGCTACAAGTCTTTTTTATAACCCTTTCTACTGCTTGATTTGGCCGATGGTCAACGCTATATAACGTTGTAAACGAATGCGTGTACTTATGGCAGGCAGTGACTACGAATAAAAATCATGAGACTTAAGTAGTCAAAAGAATAAGAAAGGGTGAAGCTACTTTAACAGGTATTCTCTAATCATGAACAGAAGTTTACCACAGTCGCTCAAGAAATTACGAGAGCTTCATGTTACCGGCGCTAAATTACGGGGCAGAAATCTGCAGGCTTACGTAGCGGGTTCACCTTGAATTGTAGACAACGACGCAGCCAGCCATGGAACGAAAAATTATAAGTGGGTGCGTAACATAAAACTGAATAGGACTTGGAGGAAAGTCATTGCAAAAGAATGGATATAAAACTAGGCGCTATGGATGAGCCTAATACGTTTCTCGCCTTTGCTGCTGGTGGTACTATGCCATTTGGCGATCCTGAACGCATGCTCAGCAGCCACGCAATGAGGCTGACAACCTGCAGGTAAGTGTAAACGTTAAAATGTAGAAAGCAAAAGTTTAAGTAGCTGGGCCATTCGGTACGGATACATGGTCGCAAGCAGCGCGAATAAACAAGATGGACGCTCCGGGAAAAAATGACATGAACAAGCTCTCTCATTCAATAAGAAATTTTTAATCAAAAGTGAAATACATGCAGCCCCGGTATTACGAATCATGTGCGAAGAAATGTTCACACCCTATCTCACTCAACAACCAAGGCACCCTCACGACACATTGTTTATGTTATGGCAAAATACAACATTTCAGTACCATGTAGCATCGCCAACACCTGACTGTGGCAAGGCTGGCGCTGTTTTCCTATATTACGCGCATTGGAAATGGTAAGGAAAAAACACGTGCCTTGGCTTCTTGCTCAGTATGCAGGCCAAAAGACCATGGGCCACACTGGGAAGACCAGATAGTTCACGTGAAAATTTTCTGGGGCTTTCACTCTGGAGCTTGCAAACGTGGATACTTTCCTAACGGCATGAGCTCCTTTCCCCTCTAGGCTGGTCAGGAGCCATTCCACATGCCGACACAGTCAAGTGACATACGCTTGCACTCTAACTCTCACTTATTATATGTGGAATGTCTGCTACTCTGCTTTTGGTTGTCCTAATAAAGCAAGCATTATGCTGGTGACTGCTAAGGCAACGCTGGGAAGTGCTTTAACGAAGTGATTTTGTGTCCCACACGCGCGTGCTTGGTGCTATTAGGTGGGCCAGTGGCAGAGATCGCATTCGAGTACATAGAATCCGGAAGATCGAAATTGCGGTCATCGGCGAGTAACAATCGCGAACTAATTCCAAACCACTACTCTGCTTTCCTTAAAGCCCACTCGCGCGTGGTTCCGGGTCCAGTCGGCCGTTATCCCCTACTTTGCATGCAAGCTGCTCTGCTCTC